AAAAGCAGAATGAATGCCTGCTTTTGTACACAATTCTGGTTTAGATGAAGAGATGCAAATGCCAAGCACCAGAAAGTCTATGATGCGCAAACAAAAAATCGCGGCGGAAGATCTGTATGTGCTCAACTGAAAATTGTCCATAAATTTGTGTGATTTATTTGAGTGGCATTTTTTTTCGGTTTGTTTGGCGAATGCGTTGTTTTTTTTTTTCACTTCGTGCGGCCAAAAAATTGAATGTTGTACCTGTTCGCGAGCTGTTTGCGAAAATGAAAAACAAAGTGAGAATGGAAAGAAATGACGCAGAGCGAAGCAAACACGATACGTACGGTCGCTCAACAGCGAATTTCTAAATAGCCTTCTGCTAGTGTTACACTATGCACTGTTTAATGAATAAATCAACGTCATAAACAGAAAATGAAAATTGTTTTTTTTTTCGCCATTTTTTATTCCTTCTTTTCGTCTTTTCTTGTTGGTTTTGCTACAGTGAAATGTGGGCGACTACTCGAGCTCGATACGATCATGCAACGATAAACGATGACCACAGAGACGTAGAAGACAGTAATGGAACTAACGAACAAAGTCACCAATGTGGATGAAAAAAAAAAAAAAAAAACAACCAAGAGTCATTTTTAGATTCTCGAGGACTGGCGACCCCTCATATCATTTAGTGTGTGGTTCATTACTTTCGTAGATTAAAGTCATCAAAGTGGCTCATTTCGTAAAGCCATCGTCGTTCTTCATTTTTGAATGGGCCATCTCACATAAGTAGCATGTACATCTTGAACGCTCATTTTTATTGTTCATTCGTTTTTCTTACTTTATTGTGGTTTTTCCCGTCTTTCACTCGTGCAATTCAACCCATATTAATTTTGCGAAAGCGTACGACTGACAAACAAAATGCTTTAATGCTTTAGTTCTGATTTCAGTAGCAACAGCCACCATAAGCGCTTCCAAATGCATTGTGCAAGTATGTGATAGAGTGAATAACGAGTCAGAAAAACCGTTTTCACCCCAACGCAAAGGGAAACATACGCCATTTAAACTTGATGGCTCGAAATGCGAGCTTATGTCTGCGTTTTAAAGGAAGCACTCATCGAATACATTAGCATTTTGGTTTCGCCCATAAGCCTTTTTTAATGGCACAAAAGCTCAAAGAACGCTACTATAACCGCAAATAAACCCCCCCCCTCCCGGCAAAAACCACCAGCAAATCAAATGCAAGCACTATGAATGGAGCGCGCGCGCGCGCGGGCCACAAAAGAAAAGGAACACATTTTGGTTGCGTTGTCATTTTTATCAAGTGAGCCAAAGTAAGAATTGGCTTCAAATCTACGGGCGCCCAAATCAACGAACAGATGAAGAGAAGAAGAGCCTTTCAAGCTCGATTTAATGAAGTCATTTATTTGTGGATACGAATACATGCAACCTTTATTAAAGTTAACGCTTGAGGTTAATTTTGTCATTTTGTTTCGATTTGCATTTGCTCGCTCTCATTTCGTCGGTCGGTCTTGCAGATATGACCGTTATATATTCGCTTATAAAATTCCCGACGAAATAACCGCATGTTTTGTGGGGGATTATTCTAAATTTTGCAAAAAAAAAAAAACAGCATAAAAGGCGGCGAGAATTTCAATTTCAATCGCAAAAGACGCAGAAAATACAAACGTAAGGGTGAACAGGACCAAAATAGAAAACAACCCAAACGCAACTCCACACTTAGCTTCTAAATGTGACACCGTAGTAAGTGTGGGCATACGTTTTGCGAATAAGCGACAAAGAGAATGGAAACAAGTGCGCGTGTATTAGTCGCTACATTGAGAAGCATCGCATCAGGCTACTCACTACCACACGCGCACTTGTTTCCATTCTCTTTGTCGCTTATTCGCAAAACGTATGCCCACACTTACTACGGTGTCACATTTAGAAGCTAAGTGTGGAGTCGCGCTTGGGAAAGTACGCTGTTGAGTCGATGCAATCACGTTGCCGAACCCAATTAGATTCTGTTAATTTTGCGTTGTCCATACGCCTTGATACATAAATCCATTTCGTGGTATGGAAACGGTAAATTATTGAAACGATTCCCCAGAGGAGATAAAATAAAGAATGCTTGGAGGCACATAGATTTAGATTTCCTTTTTCAATTTCGAAGCAGGAAATATTTTCTTCGTGTGACAAAGGGCACTCATCTATTTCCATTTTATATGGCTGTGGATGGTGGATACACTCTTTTATATTACTACGGCACCCAATCTGTTTGGGGTCACGCAATCCAGCAAAACAGTGAATTTATTTCCTTGGATCAAAAATTGTTAGTTTTTCTTCTTTATATATGTAATATATTTGCTTGAATAAAGAATTAAATTGAAATGGGGAAATGTACAAGCGATATCAACCATTTGTTTTTAAAATGATTCCGTTTTTGAGAGAAAGAAAGAAAGAAAGAAATATAGTGATTTCCGACGGCACAACATTTGTAAATACATTTTTACAAGCACCGATTCATAAAATAATAAATCATCCAGCAGACGATTATGATAAGATGTATCGCATTAGATGACATACAATAGAAATATCTAACCTAATAAAAAATGGAGACAGAGAGGAAGGAAGCGAGAGAGTAACCAGATGGATGAATCAAATCGAATGCATTAACTAGAATGAACACCATTGTTATGGCCACAGGCCTCTTTCAACGAGCTCATAATGCCAAATGATTTACATAAAATTTATTGACTGTAACGTACGGCACTATAACAACACAAAACCAACAAAACAACAAAAAAATGACCATGTCATATGCAAGAAAGCACTTAAAATATATAAATCTAAATATATCACATTAATAACCAATTTTAACGTTGACCGTTCACCGGGTTATTATCTTATTTCGAAGAAAAAAAATGATTTTCAACTGAATGCATTAGCCAGGTTTTATAACTTGATATTTGGGGCATCTGAAGAGCGGAGACAGCCAAAATCTTGAAAATTAATTGATAGATCAAAGTCAGCTTACACACATGACATAAAGTCTAGTGCTCCGATGTGAAATGATTTCAAAACATTGTCTGATATTAATATAATTGGGTTAAGGTATTGCACTGAGTTCAATTTAAAACCCAAAAATACATTGGACATTTGTGTTGTTATAGACTTTTTATTTTGGTTCGCTTCTACGACTGCTAGTGTCAAATGTAAATGCATAACAGCGACAAGTCACATAATACTAAACGCATCCATTCTTAATGGGAACCTAATGTAATTTTTTTGCGCGGAATTTGAAAACAATGAAAAATGAATGGGTGCGTTTAATATTATGCAGCATACTAGCGATGGTTGGTTCGCTTCAATATTTACGTTAAATAAAGTTACCAAAATACATTTCTATAAGCTTAGCAAACGTTGGGCGGCTGTAATTCCATCAATATCACACATCTTAGTTTGTCGTTAAGCCAATGTGTGTTGTGTGTTGATGACGATTTAATCCGAATTATAAATCAAATTTTATACCGATTTTCATGCATAAAATCATCGTTTTCATCGCTAATTAAGTCGGTTCACTTCCCTCTTACTATTTTCATTGGACAGTCCATAGATCATACAAAATATTTGGAGTTTTTTTTTTGTGTGTCTCGATTCGTTTTCTTTCAATAAAAAAAACATGTTTTCTAATATCGATTTCGCTTTAGATCATAAAAACTGTAAACGAAAGCCATATGATTTCAAGAGGGACGAATAACCTTCAAACAAAAGCAAAAAATTTTCTTCTTTTTTTTTCCTTTTTTATTCTACGTGATGTACCAATATAAAATTGTGTCCATTAATTCGCCACCAAATATGAGTGGTCTTTTCAATTTGGTGCGATTAGTGGTGATCAATCGTCACTATTAAAAATTTCAGCCCAGAATCTAGAAATGTTGCTGATTGATACCATCAATAAAATTAAAAAAAAGATAAAATCGGAAAAAGGAGAACAATGTAATGAAGAAAAGGCGATCCATATACAGAAGATCGATCACATTTAGGTGGATTGATTACTCATCGAAATTTATTTTAGTTAAATCGAGTTACCACAAAGGTCGAAATTGGAAGCACGGCGTGTGTCACACAAATGATGTCTGTGCCTGCATTAAATTAACAATCTTATCTTGAATCTACCGGACACACACCGGTCAGCCTTTGAATGAAGAACCTTTTATTCACCGACTTTCGTGCACAGAACAGGTTCAAGATCATGTTCATTTCTTTTTCCCTCGTTTATCTCTCTGTTCCTTCCGAAGTCCGTACGTTTTGCGTGTGTGTGATTCTTGCAAGATGAACAAAAGAAAAAAAAAATGGTTTTCAGTGCAACTACTTTTGATTTCATCAATGAGAGTGTCACATAATTCATTCGGATTACACAAGAAGACGCTACATTGCGGCATCGTCGTCCCTCGATTCTACGGCCGAGCGAGACTGCTTGTATTTTACCGATTCGCATGACCATTGAGCGGGGGGCGACAGTGCGCTAAAGAGACGTAAAACACTCGTCGTCAAACTACACAAAAGGTGAATCTGTTGGTTTTCATGCGGCAGCGGCAATGGAGATGGTCATCTTTCAAGTATATGATATGATATGTGTTTGCATTTCGGTTCCGTATAGTTCACGATATCGAGCGATCGCGTATAGTTTGAGCGCACGCGTGCGCAATCCCGCGAGAGAGTTCAATTCTCTGTGGTCTGTTGATGCTGCACACCGCAATGTTTATTTGCCATATATACAACCGTTCGCTTGATATACATATATCGCGATGCTGTGTGCTTGTGTGAAAACGTTAATATTGTTGTTTTATTTTTTTCGGTGATTTCGTCATTTCGATAATTTTGGCTTATATCCGTAAATGGTTGAGGCGTTGTTTGTATGATAAATACATACGGAATATATTTGCCATATACAACGCGCTTTGAGTTTTTCGATCCGATCATGATCTCTCAACTCGCATCGCACAATTTTTTAGCAATTCAGTTGAAAATTTGAGCTTAAGAGCTTGATACACGTTCACAGCGTGAGCGTCATTTTTTTCCAATTTTTTTTTTTTTTTTTTGCTGTTTCGTTTCGTTTCGTTTTCAAGTGATTGTGTGTTCGATGTTGCGGTGGAGGAACACCAATATACCGTGAAGATATTGATCTGATAAATGATACTTATTAATTTGGTTGAAATTTAGTTGTCATTCGAATGCTAACGATTCAAGCAACCAACTTGTGATTTTGGTCTTAATTTTGTCTTTTTCTGTCGGACAGTTAGTAAAAAGAATCTTTCGAATTTGGATGCATTTTCGATGAGATTGAAATTATTTTTAATTTTAAGCTGTAAATTTGTGTTAATTGTGAGTGCCAATGATCTTGTTATATGCACACGTTAATTACATTAAACTATTTATCTAGTGCTTTTCAGTTTCATTATATTTCTTCGTTCCTTTCGATTGGAAATGTTAAAAAAGGAGAAAAAAAAAGTTGTGCGTGTGCAATGCACACTGTGCATCGATGATTTGTGTCGAGTTTTTGTTTCTTTTTTGGTGAATTTTGAATAAAAAGTTCATTCGCTAAATTTGAATATATCCACATCGAGATATATAAAGTATATCCTAATATCTCTTCAGTTTTTATTTCGTTCATCTTTTGTTATCCATATTTGAGTGTGACTTTCAACCGGATACAACGCCAAAATCAAAAATATCGATTTTTTGCATACTTGATTGCGACGCTAAAAAAAATTGATTCTTTCGAGAGTATGCGATTTTCTTGAGAGTATGCGATTTATATGCCAAGAATGAAGATCAAGAAGCAAGATCATATACATACATTCAACGTAATACGGTCATAAAGTATAAATGATCATGGACAAACTACAAAATCAAATGAAAAAATTACATAAAATTATTAATTAATTATCGGAACAACATTTTAATCGCTACAACATGAATTTAACCTCATACGATCAAAGCGTACGCTTGTCGGATACGGCATTCGGTCAGAGGAGAAATTGATGTTTTCTCTCTCTCTCTCTCTCTCTATCTCAATCTCGCTCGCTCGAACAAAACATTCATTTAACACGTTTGATCAATTCATTTGGTGCGTCTTTATGGTTATTCGATTTGTGGTGATTTTTCAAATTTATTCGTTTGCTCCATCGACAGAAAGCGGAAAAAAGAGATAATTATATTCTACCTTAATCTTACACACACGCGAAGCATTTTAAATACCCGAACATCTTGTTCAATTTTAAGTGTCAGCAGTTTTATTTTTATCGACCGTCACATTAACAAACTTCGATCGGTTTCACATTTTCTATATTCGCGTGTAAAACTTCCGTGTATGCATAAATGCGAACGACTGATACGCAGCTCAAGAACGAGACATTGATTAGCAAACGACTAGTTACCTCTTCAACCTTTATGACATTTTAATTTTTATGACAAGTTTGTAAATTGCCCGTGGTAAAAAAAAATACACGTCAGCGCGGCGATCACTGTTTTCTTGAGACTTTCTCAACCACGAAAAGGTAAATTCGAGCCGAATTTCAATGTAATTTGCAATTCGAAATTGGATTAATTTGGGTGAAAACTGTTTTTTGTGGGTTTTATCTTCGAAAGATGAAAATCTTAATGAAAAATTATCAACTACAGATTATGTATCGGCACCTTTGAACAGGCGAAATTGTGAAAACTTTTCTAAACATAAATATTCATCGATCGGATAGTCTTGTGATTTGCGATCTTCGCTTCTATCGATATATACCCCGATACATCTTCGATGACTACATATGGCCAGGCATTCGCATTCGTTATAAATTCAATGATACAAAATGGGGATAAAACTATGTTTGCAATTGTTTACAATGTTAAACATCGTTCCCGTGAACGTGATAAACAATCACGCGGCAAAATTTGAATAATTTGTTTTTCTCACTTTCGGTCCCAGTTTGTCAGTCCCGTTTGGCATCGTTTCCGATTTCGATTCGGTCGAAAAATGATTAATTAAATTGAAAATTAATGCGATTTCTTCACTTCCCATTCAAACTCAATGAATCGGCTGACCAGAAACATTTACGATTTAATAATCGTAGTGATTTCTGAATGGGCGATTCATATTAGAAATATGGCACACGGCATTTTTTTTTTTTCAACACGCAGCTGATGAGTAAATTATTGGAAAGTGATTGTTGTCGAGCGTCATCTCTGGTTTTTTTTTCATCATCTTTGCTATGGGCGCACGTGTATTCTTTGACAAAGCCAGTCAATCGCATCATTATAAATGTGTCCGAGTGTGTGAGAGCTCCACTTGAGCCAATTATATAATCGAAAGTAATTATTGAAGGCAATTAATAATCTTACTTTCGTTCGGGATTATTCATTAATTAAAATAAGCCAGTTAAGTGGACACGATTGATTCGGGGCGAAAATGAATGATGCGCAAAAAATCATAAAATAATCGTTAATTTCCAACTCATGTGTCCGGCTCGTAATATATTTCATCTGGAAACCATAAAAATACGACAGCGTCTCAACATCCTGAGTATTATTGCGAATTTGCACATTGCAGTTCATTTTGACCACCCCGAGAGTTCACACGCAATGAAAATATTTTGTAAGACTTTTAGACATTTTTCGTGTGTTTTTCCGCTTTCATTCAGATTTTTAAAAAAAAACTCTTCAAAAGTTGTTCAACGAGTGACGGTATTTTTGAATACAAAGAAACAAGGGCGAAATTTCGTCGGCAGCTTAAGTGTTGGAATGTGAAAATTCCAAAACTAATTTGAAAGTTGATTTGCATGTGGATTTACAAAAAAAAAATAAATAAGGCAAAACCAGACAATTAACGCAGTGTATGAGATGGAATTTCAGAATAAATACGATCAGAGCTCGATTCTATTTATATTTATAGACGCCTTTTGTGGATATAGAACGAGCAGTTCAGTTTTGATGCACTTTTTTCGACTGTGAATTCATTAGCATGCAATGTTTGGACATTTTTGGTTTATTGCTGTGAATTTTTAGCCTTTTATAGGCGGAACGATGCAATATAGCAACTAATATATGAATTTATAATCTTTGCTTTTGAGCAGGTCTGAACTGAGCTGGATTTGCTAGCTCAGGTAGCTGAAATAATAATTCAGGCGCTCAAGTCAGCTCAGCTCAGGCCTGCTCAACATCAGAAATACACTCTCTGCCAATTTTGGAGTAAGAGATCAGAATTTTCATATACAAATAATCATAAACCATTCAGAATAAACACACAAAAAACTAAAAGACAGGATATGTCAAAGGAGTAGCCGAAATATTTTAATAATACTACTTTATTGTCTGCTCAGTTTGATATAACTATATAACACTATAAAAGGTTTTGTTTGGATATATAGTCGTGAATATAAGTTTTTGTTTTGTTTGTGGATAAGACGTTTGCATTTGTTCATACATTCGCCCGAAGTCACGCGGTGTTTGGAGGAAAAAAGCGCAATATAGACATTTGATATTTCATCGCGGACAAAGTGAAGAAGATGAAAAAAAGAAGAGGAAAAAAACCCATCAAATTTAATGCACTGCAACGCATCATAAATGATGAATTAAATTAGCACAATATTTGGTTGTGTGTGTGTCAACTGTGATAGTTTAGCCATGAACTTCTCTTCTTTTATCTTTCTTTCTTATTGAGCGATTTTTTGTCTGTTCTGAAAATTCATTCACTGAATTTATGTGACTACAATCTTGTTGTTGTTGTTTTTTTTTTCTTGCATCGTTTAACATGTGTATAAATCAAAAATCTCTTGGCTTTTGTTTCAGAAGATCCGCTTACTGGTTAAACTACTGTCCAAAGAATAAAGCGGCAAAATAAAATAAGACGAAAACGTTTTGTGTGACCGGCAATTAATCAAATAAAAAAGTACTAAAAGTCAAAACATATCACTTCTTTGCATTAGTGATTAGTTAAGATATTTAACACAGTGTAAATGAATGTGTATATATTACTTTCGCTTAAATGCTCATGCTCACACCCACTACGACACAGTGAAGCACAGTAGAATTAATTTGAAAATTGAAGAGAAACATAGTGAGAGGTTCAGAGGCCAAACAAAACAATAGGAGTCGGATTGAACGTTGAATAGGAACAAATTAATGCCAACGATGGAACACATAGTGATCGGTGAGTAATAGAGATTACATTGCTATACATATCAAAGTGAAAATATAGACAAAGATAAAGAGTGTGGACTTCAACTAAGAGCAACAATAAATATATATTTCTCCGGTGGATATGAGCGAGTGAGGAAAGAAGCTCTATTGTTTCAATGACGGAAACATCAAATGGCTAAGTTGATGATTAGATAATACCTTAAGTAGAATTAAAAATTTATGGTAATATTTTGACAAAGGCTTATCGATCGTTTGACCAAATGTCACTCTTAACTATTCGCAAATATTCTGTTGTTGCGTCAACGGAACACAGCTTGTCGTCATCATCCACCTACTCCATCATCTGAGACTCAGACAGAAACACATGACGCTTATTATCAAACAAATAAATAAATCTAAAAATACTACTCATCAAAGCGGTACAATGCATACAGACATGCACACTCTTGCATATCTTCTGAGTTGGAATGCTATAAATATATATAATAGTTCATGAAATTGTCTGCAAAGTTCATTAAATCGGTAATGTGTTTTATTGTTATGGTAAAATGTTGTGTTTTTGTGACATTTTTATGGAAATTTACAACTTAAAAAAAATAAACACTATCTCATCACACCAAGACAATCATCACCACCGGCAAAATGCTAAAAGCATAGAATATTTTTTGTCCATTCAATATTTGAACCAAAGAATTATCTGAATAATTTACATGATTTGTAAATTATATAAACCATATATATATATACGGATCATTTTTTCTGCCGGAATATCCAATGGAACTTGCGATTATTGGTCACAATTTTGGCCCGGCAACTTACCGACTGGCCAATCTCGACACAACAAAAACGGTTAATGCTATTAATCTCTTCCCATTTTCATGTCTGTCATTTTTGTGTGTGCGGCGAATCGATAAGTCAATCACAACAGATACAAATGGATGCACTTTCATTCTCGTTGAAAATCGTTTCGCTTTAATTTGCTAACGCGCTGGGGGGCTAAAAATATTTTAATTCATGTTTGCCTGTCTAAAATTCATGCATGCATGGGTGCTATTTTTTTGTTGGTCATCCATATTATTCATCGCAATAGGTTATCGTTGAAAATTGATGGAAGGTTATTAAAAACCATACACATAAATTTTTGCTTTAATGGGGGAAAAAAAGTGATTTACATTTTGCCGATAGACACATATTTGACATGGTATACATGGCTGCCTGGAATGTCTAGTATAACAGTGAATTGATGGATCTGTAGTCGAGGTGTTTAAAATAAAATAGTCTTCGCAGCTTTGCAACTCAAATACATATATAAACGTATGTATGACGAGATAGATTTGTTATTTTATGCGAAAAATACAAATTTTTCGATAATTTATTCATTTGGAATTTATTATTTTTCTTTGAACGCTCTTTTTGTTGTTTATGTAAAACCGCACGCAAAAACCGTCAAATCGTATTTGGTTACTGGAATTCGCTGTTGCTTTCGATTCCCACGTGTGTGTGTGTGTGGAATCAGTTGAATTGAGTTTGGTTTACATTGAGTTGGGTTGGGTCAGTGAATATTTCTTTAGCGCCAAATTTCTGAGTCGTCAAGCAGATAAGCATACGAATTAGATTATGCTTATTCATGAATTTAACTCTGAAATTTCTCCAAAAATCACTCATTAGAGTGTGAAATTTTCATTTCTTTGAACTTCGATTTTGCTTCTGGCGCATAATTGCATGATATGATTATATTGTATTATAATGTGTGTGTGTTTTTGTGTAATTTTCCATTTTAGTTTTGGTGTCATCACTGTTGATTGTCGCACATTCCGATGGAACATCAGCGCCGGGCACGTATCGCACATTATTCGATTATCCAGCTGATGCACTTGGTGTAAATGATTTGGAAGGCCAAGAAGATGCCTCGACAGCAGTTACGCAAAAGTCGAGGTAAACATTTTATTATCTATGATAAAATCGACTATCTCACAAAATAATTTGAAATTCAAGACAAACCACACGTTTTTTTATATATATATATATACCAAAAGATTAGTTTTTAAACATCAATTTTTGGTGTCACAAATGTGAAACGTTTAGAAAAAAAACATCGCGAATTTTCACATTCATGCGCGAAAAAAAAGAAATCGACTTATCAAAACGATATCATAAGACCAATTGTATATTCATGATGAATATATCTGGAAAAAAATCATATCGATTCAAATCAATACAAATGTTATCCGTTTTTTGTTTCTCTACAGTGGAGTTACTTCCCAATTAGGTGGAAGCGATGAACTGGATAAGCTTAGGAGGAGTATTCCTGGTGAGCCAGACGTTGATTATCCAATTTATAGAACACCACCTGAAACGGAATTCTCTTGCAGAAGCAGATTTACAGGTACAATCAACCACAACAATGGTCATTTATTTTTTTTTTAAACAAAAGCCACAATTCATTTCTGTTTATTGTTTTCTTTCGGTTTTTACTTACACTTATAAAATCACACTTCTACCAGTTATGTCAAATAAATTTTCGATTTTGCCCGATCATACCAATTTTAATCTTCGTATGAAACTCCAAATAAGCCATTTTTAATCTTACCAAAAAATCCCACTGGCAATCATCTCTCATACGTAATTCCATTTTGATGACTAAACTGAAATTAATCCAATTGATTTTGAGCCGATGTCACATTATTTTTAATCATATTAGTGATTTATTGACGAAAAAAGCCAACGGAATTGAATCTTCTCTTGACCATTAATTTTGGGTATCTCGATTTGGATGACTTTAGTTGGAGGCTAATAAACTATTCAAACATGGATTGTGCTCATTGTGGATGGTTTTTAGCAAAAACAAAATTATTCGTGACGTAAACAAAAAGAAAATTTTAAATAAACCTCAAGCCAAAAACTAACGCTCCATATTTCCAGTTGTTGTCGCTTAATTTTAATTGGACAATAAGGCTGTATGGATCGTGTCTGGAAATGGCATAAATCCAAGCGATTACCATTGTTGTGTTGGTGACAAAAGCAGAGGTCACTTTTAATATTTCGCTTGCACAGTTTTCCCAAGCAGAAGTCACGAAATCATGTCGTCGCCACAAAATGAAGATGTGAAATAATGGAACACCGATCAGACACGATAATAATTTATGCAAATAATATGCGCTTCGCTAAATGTGGTTTTATTATCTGTCGACTTTTCAATCGATTTTGATGCTTGTCTCTTTTGTTCGTTTCAGGGTACTATGCGGATGTTGATACCAGGTGCCAGGTGTTTCGAGTTTGTACGAATACCGATTTAACTGGAAAAGGTTCAATGATTTCATTAGATATTCGTAGTTTATTTTAAACACATTGTATTCTTTTCGGTTCTGAAAGTAATAACACACCAGAACGGCTGTTATCGTGCTAATCATGGAAAAATTGCGATAGACGTGTTCTCTTTTCTTTCTTCAAAAGAACCATTTTATGAATAAATATCATATTTCCGAAATAATATGGAAATCAAATTAGGCAATTCCGTTTTGGTTTGTTGATAGAATGTTAATTTTATATGATTTGCTAATGTGTTTTATTATGGTGTTACCCATTATCAGGATTCGCTTTCTTATGTCCAAATGGCACACTTTTCAATCAGGAAGTGTTTGTCTGTGATTGGTATCAGCACGTTGACTGTAGTTCGAGTGAGAATCATTATGGCAAAAATGCTCTACTCAATATGAAAATTGACAGCATGTCCGAAATGATGAAAGTTGTAAATGAAATGGTCAACTTCCCATTAGAGACGAATGGAGAACGACCAATACCAATGCCAACTTTCCCAGAATTTCCAAGACCAGTAACCCAGCGTCAACCAGCCATTCCGACGACAATTCCATTCGTTGCTCAAACTACACCGACATCAAATCAATTTACATTGACACCGTCATCACCTCCATTCGGGAGCAGAATAGCAAATTTCAATACAACAAAAGCAACTCAACCTACACCGCCAACACCTCAGCAACGCAGACCCGGCTTTGGAACACAAACGTTCACACAAGAAGGTGATTTCGAAGTAAATTCGAAGAATACATTTGATAACACAAAAACCGTCCAGGATAATACATATTCAAAACAACCGATTTTCATCTCAAGTCTGGGCGAATTATCTACTGACCCGGGAAATAAATTCGATATTAATACAGCTAAAATCATCAAACCCGAAGATAACCAAGTAATCACTCCACCCACACTCACAAAAGAACAACAGCTGAAGGAATCATTATCGGAATCGTTTCGAAATCGTGCAAACAACAACGCAACAAATCCGGGCGAAAATAATCTAGCAAATGGTTTACAACGAGTTTTACAGCAAAATCCGGACTATCAAGTTCAAGTGCTCTCGGGAGAGGCTGATCTATTGCAATTCATTGAACAAATTTTGCATAGAAACCCAGATCTAACACCAGATCGTCTGAATGCGATTCTATCGTCCGAAAGTGATGCGATCCTGCAAATCTTGAACGATGCCGTTAATCGAAATCAGTCCGGTGATAAGTCACGGGAAAATAATATTCTGGACAGAATTCAACAAATTCTGAACAAATACAAGAATAACCGTGGCACTGTTCCGATTTTAAATGGCGAAGCAGATTTATTGGATAGCTTGAAGCGAATTCTGGTACGAAGCCAATTGCCGATATTCTCCGGAGAAGCCGATCTCGTTTCATTTATTGAACTAATTGTGGAACGAAATCCTGAGTTTACGAAACAACAACTCAATGCCATTATCAGTGGCGAAACTGATTCCATTTCATCGATTCTGAATCAAAACAGACAACACAATAGCCGAATTCCTGTCAAAAGTGGCGAAGCGATACTCCTCGACGCTATAGAAAATGTGCTGCAGCAATACCGTGGTCGACCACAATCGGTACCAACTCAAACGGCAGCTCAACGGCTTCAAATTCAATCAGGAGAAGGAAACTTACTTGAAAATGCTCTACGACGAATCCAACAACAGAGTCAAATACCAATATTTTCCGGTGAAGCTGACCTCATCTCGTTCATTGAACAAATTGTGCAACAGAATCCGGATTTCACAAAGCAACAACTCAGTGCTATTGTAAGTGGTGAAGCTGATTCAATTTCAGCAATTGTGAATCAGAAAAAACAACGAAATAATGGAGTTCCAATCGAAAGTGGTGAGGCAATCCTATTGGAAGCCATTCAAATTGTTCTACAAAAATACCGTGGTCAGAATATTACCCAACCGCAATCAGTTTCAACTTCATCTCAACCAGTTCAGCAAATTGTACAGTCAGGAGAGGGCAATTTACTTGAAGGAGCCTTGCGACAAATCCAACAACACAGTCAAATTCCTGTATTTTCCGGTGAAGCTGATCTCATCTCGTTTATTGAAGAGATTGTCCAACGAAATCCAGATTTTACTAAGGAACAACTGGGTGCCATCATTAGTGGAGAAGCTAATTCAATCTCAACCATAGTAAACCAGAAAAGACAACAAAATATCGAGGTTCCAGTTGAAAGCGGTCAAGCTATACTCCTTGAAGCTATTGAAATAGTTCTACAGAAATACCACGGTCAACCACAAACAGTGCCAACTCAAACTCAAGCTCAGCAGATTGTTCAAACAGGAGAGGGCAACTTACTCGAAGGTGCCCTACGACGGATCCAACAGCAAAGTCAAATTCCAATATTTTCGGGTGAGGCTAACCTCATCTCATTCATTGAAGAGATTGTGCAAAAAAATCCAGATTTCGCGAAAGAGCAGCTCGGTTCTATCATTAGCGATGAGGCCGATTTAATCTCAACCATTGTAAACCAGAAAAAACAACGAAATAATGGAGTTTCAATCGAAAGTGGTGAAGCCATACTCATTGAAGCCATAGAAATTGTTCTACAGAAATATCGTAACAAAAATACTCCAAGCTCAGTATCTCCTCAGTTTGTGCCAGTTCAATCGGGTGAAGGAAACTTGATCAGCAGTTTAAAACAAATTCAACAACAGAGTCAAATCCCGATATTTTCCGGTGAAGCTGACCTCATTTCGTTCATTGAACTAATCGTGCAAAGAAATCCTGATTTTACAAAGGAGCAACTAGCCGGTATCATTAGTGGTGAGGCGAATTCCATTTCAACGATTTTGAATGAAAAAAGGCAACGAAATAATGTGATCGCCGTTGAAAGTGGTGAAGCAATCTTGCTTGAAGCAATCCAAATAGTTTTGCAAAAGTATCGCGCCAATACAGGGATATTGAATCAGATACAACCACCATATAAAACTGGTTCACCACTCAGTCAAAATCAACAAGGCATTGTATCAATAACAGACATAAATAGATTAACATTGACCGGTGATAATGTTGTGAGTCAACCAACGGTTGGTGGTGGTAATTCATCGAATCACTCTTTCTTCAATCAGAATTTGAATGGAAATGGCTTCAAACCCGTCACATCTAATGAGCAAGGAAGAGAAATTAGTTCACAATCACCATTTAATCCAATATCAAATAATCAAAATGATCAAATCGAATCTGACGAATTGAATTTACTCGAACAGACATTGGAGCAGCTTGCATTACGTATTCCAAATCAGCAACGGCCCATCTTCTCTGGTGAAGCAAATCGGTTGGCATTTATTCAACAACTTAAGCAGCACAATCCAGATCTGTCAATTAACCAATTGAATGCAATCAATGGCGGCGAAGCAAGCTCAATTTTGAGAATATTCAATGAAAAAACGCGGAAAAGTAAAGCGAGTGGTGTAGTTGATGGCAGTGCCGATCTTCTTGAAAGTATTGAGATAGTTCTTCAAAAATACCGTCTGGACAAACAACTGTTGCCACCGTTGCGTGAGCCAATATTCACGGGTGAAAGCGATCTTCTGGAATCAGTACAAAGAATTCAACAAAAAAGCTCAGTTCCGATTAACTTTGGCGAAGCTGATTTGCTGCAATTTGTTCGTCGAATCGAAAATCAAAATCCCAAGTATACTCCTAACCAATTGAGCTCGATTATTGACGGTGGCGCTGATTCCATCATAGATATTTTGACGGAAAACAAACAAAAAGAGAACTACAGCGGCTTTGATGTAATTGAAAGTGGTGAAGCAGACCTGTTGGTGGCAATCCAATACTATGTGGAAACGTATGTTAAGCCAGACGCTGTACAACCGCCCACATCATTTGTGGCAAACCATCCGCAATTGCAATATACTCAGAGCAGCCAGGCACAGACAGCAGCAGTAAGTTCGAAAAAATAATTTTCAAATCGATTTTGATTAAAATTTGATTTTTCTCTCTCTCCATTTTTAGGTCAATCAATTACCTCAAGGCATCAACAGCACAGGCCAACCTTCACAACAATCAGTGCACGGACAATTGACTGCAGTCAGTTCTGGCAATTCGTTTTATCAATATTCAAATCAAAATCAAGGGAATACATCAGGCGCCAATGGAAATGCTACCTATTCCTTTGAGCAGAATAAACAGAGCCAATTTTCAAATCAACATTCCCAGTCAACCCAAAGTCATATTACAAAGGACGTGTTCAGAGGACAAGACAATATTTATACACAAACTGCAATAAGTCATAAAACTCGATCTCAATCAACGTCGTTGAACTCACAGAAAATCCACTATAAATTCACACAAACTGTACCATACCAACAGCAGCAGCAGGAGACAGCAGCTCCGGTTCAGTTCATTCAGTCGAGTGTGTCAAGCACAATATCACCAAACACATACATCCCACCTCCAGTAACACCATCATCGTACAGCTTTGCATCTACGCAAGCATCGAAGCAAGTGTTCACATATCCTGCGGTAAGTTTTCAATTTGATTCATGCACTTGACGAAATACGAAGAAAAATATACAGAAAATAGAGAGACAAACTATTATCTGAACATTACACACACACACACACACACTTCTTATGACAAACTATATAACGAAACAGGTTTTAAACAGTGAACATGAGGTAAGAAATTTGACACTCGCACATCGAGACACGGACAAGAGACAACGAACATTACATGCAAAAGACGGTTCAAAGGAACATCATGCCAATGCACCTGGTATGTTTTTCTTGACTTGACAATGTGTGATGCACATTGAATGTGTTTGCTTTACTAAGAATGAAATTAATTTTGTAAACAGATAAACGGCATGCGGACTACACAAAAGACCATCAATCGACCGACTTATTCTGGAAGGGATTACATTTATCGTTCTTTGAAAATAATGACTTAAATCAACTGGATTATTATACAACGCATGAACGCGATGATACGCCAGTAAGAAAGCGTAAAAGCCCATTAGACTTTGGCAATTTTCTTGGCACGCGAAACAACAACAACAACAATCAACCTACTATCGATTCCGCTATATTAACTGCACATAACGAAACAAATGACTTTTACAAAAGAAACAATAACAAAACTGAAACGACAAAAACAGGATTGAGCGCGAACACTAGATCAAACGACGCATTTAAAAATGCAAATATTTTCAAACCGACTTTGACATTCGACAAAGCCGTTCTAACTAATGCAACGCACGAACCACGAACACTCAACAACTATACCGAACCATTTTTGATTCGAGTTTATTAACAATTTACACATGAATAGAGTTAAGATTCGCCAATATTATAGAAATTTGTTTGATTCACACAGGAAACCGAAGTACGTAGACAAAGTGCCAGTATAAACATTACAAAGGATTCCGTCAACTATCAATCGATCAGCGATAAAAACGAAGCTCCACAACCGTCCGCATCACAGGCATTCGTTTATACCGAAATTGAGAATCGACCTCCGGTCAATTACGACATTCCCCATCCGCCACTGCAGACGGTTTATCCGAAATCAATTCAGAATAATGTCGTCTCACGAAATGCAGTCAATCGACCAACGGTGCAGCGATACAGTTTGCCATCGATACCACACTCATTACCGTCTATCGTGCATGAACCCAGCAATACAGTTGCGATCATTCAAAATGTTCCGGCCACATTTGCTAGTTCATTGAACGCACAACGGCATCCATTGCCCGTGATAACATCTACGTACAGCAATCGAGAAAGTTACTCGAATGCAAATGCAAGTGAAAAAGTTGTCGTCAAAGTTGTAAAAGCGCCCGGTTGGTATTTAAACGATGCAAACGAACGACGTTCGTATTATGATGCGGTGGCTCATGGTTTGCTCAGCGATAATGGACTGGTTTATGTGAACAATGTACAAAAAGATGCCAATGCCGCAACGAATATAGCTCAAAATTCACCAATCAATTTTACTCCATCCAAAGTTGCACCGCCTGCTTTCACCCAGATACTTTCAAATAGTCCAATTCAAACGCCATCAACCGGTTACACACCACAAAATATAATTTCGCCAGCCATATCTCAATCACAATCAGTGGGATATCCTGCTGGGAATCTGATCCAATCGTTTAATGGCATAAATTATTGGCCACCTTGTGCCATCGCATCATACCACCAGCACGTTCAAAATTCACCGACGTCATCATTACAACAAGCACAATCACGACCACTTTCATTCGACAAACCATCAAATATCGGGGATAATTTATACAGCGGCCGTTCATCTTACAATGTTAACTTACAAAGTGTCGGAAGATTGGCTGGAGACAATGCCAAATATCAATACAGTTTATTGTCATTACGTCAACCACCGCGACAAGCTTAATAGATTTGTTTTTTTGGAATTTTTCTTTAGAAAGTTCCAAGTGTTAATCAGAAAAAGAAAGAAGAAACAAATTATACATTCTACATGTAGAATGGTGTGTACAAATACTGCACACCAATTTACGTGGTAAAGAATGCATTTTAGTAAGTCATTTTGATTACATTTTTCGAGTATCGAGTGTATCATTCATATATTAATATAGCGAATCTTAAATAACCGCCTCAGAATCGTACGAATCACACATTTCAATTATTAGCGTTAACACATTCTACCTACTAGTTTATACTTTTTTTCTTAAGTTGTGCTATTTATTTTTTTTTTCTTACTAAAAGAAGCTGCAAGTTTTGTGAACAATATTCGTGCTGTGTTTGAGTTTTATTTCAATATTTTTTTTATTTAGAAGTTTATTGCCAGCAATTGAAGTCGATTGCCTTCCCTTGCCCTGTCTTGTCTTTCTTAGCCTTGTGAAGAAATCAAAAACCTTCAAAGCTTCAGTCGAACCCAGAATGCAATAGAAATATCAAATGATATATAAATCATTTCGGAAAATGACGGTAATCTTTAGACAATCAGAGTGTCATTGGATTAAAGCAATTTGACTTGAATTCCCACAGAACGCATCGTTATTAATTTGAGCCTCCGATGATTGAGAGAATGAGAGAACCCATTCAAAATGATAACATTGAGCAAAATGCTACCAAAAATGTGAATGGAAACGTAGTGACAACGGATTATGGCGTGACATTTTAATGCGAATTGTATACCGAATAAATGTCATTTGAAAAATGAAAATAAATGCCTATAGCATGAGTCGACACTTTGAAGCAGATTACGAATTTGGCGAATATCTTCTTTTTGTATGTGTGCATGTTGTGTCGTTGTCACGTTAAATCGAATGCAGACGCGTGCGAATAACAAAAAAATCCACTTTGCTCAACGCTCATCGTTCTATTCAGCTTAATGTTGTTACTTTTCCGATTTTCTTACTCCTACCCATCGTTTCTTGCTCTCGTTTCATTACATTCTGTCTGCTTTTCATTTGGAATCGTATTTCAAATGTAACGGGAAAATGCGAGAACCATCAAGTGTAAAGCAAATAACGTTTCTGCGTTTTCGAATTCGGTTAAATGGGTTTTTTTTCTTTCTCTCTCTCTCTCTCTCTCTCTCTCTCTCTCTCTCGATAGTACCAACAAATGCGAAATGTAGCGAAAATTTATCCTGTACGGGTAGACTTAAGCCCGAGTAACTGATATATTATCGTTTACTTTCATTTGATTGAAAAATCTTGAGCAGCGCTCAATACGATATGAGCATTGGATGTTGACACAGCGCGCCATCAATTTATTTTGACTGATTTGCATCGAAAATGAAAAACATTTTAACTTTTCAAGGCTGCACTGTTCAATTACAATTTGTATTCGTCTTGATTTCGCTTGGTAGAGCGCAAAACTTGATGGCGGTTTTTTTTTTGTCTGTTCGCTGAAATGAGAAACAAAACTTTGCGTGATCAAATGATACGAAACGGGGATGATTCAAATGGGTGTTTCATGTTTCAATGTGTAAATTTATCGTTGATTGTTTGTCTTGCAGTTATCGTTATTTTGAATTGTCTCAAATTAATCCTTACGACCGAAGTCATCGGGCGATGCTATCGCATCGGTCAAAACTGGCAAACACCACCACCAGTACCACTGCCACCACACCAACAATCAACAATTACCATTAAAATAACGGCCAAACTTTTGTTTAATTTCGAAAATATGTTACCCACAAGATGTCGACCAAACACACAAAACGAAACGTAATCATAAGAAATGTTCGGTTTGTTCTTTTTCTGTTTTTCATTCACATTGGATGGCGGATTATACAAATGTGCGTATCAAATTTTGTCGAAGGTTGCTTGCTACAAATAATAACAATACTGCACCATCAACACCCTCCAACATGTAAGTAAGTTAAACTAACAATATCTTTGTCTTTATAACGCCTTTGCTCTTTTATTCGGGCAATATTGTCGACAAGTTTTAGGTCGAGATTTCTAATTAAATAGAAGAATTCATCAAAATAGTACAAACAGATGTCAAGACTCTTATGAATCTCTAATAAAAAAAAAATAACGTACATAAATAATGCTTTTCATTTTGGCTACTTACTCATTTGCATCATTAAATTTTCCGGCAAACCGAAAGACGAGAAGAAGAAAAAAACAGAGAGAAAACTTGAGAGAAATATACCCTCTTAACAAAGTTCTTGAAAATCACCTCTGCCAGCACACAGCACTGTGAATATTTGCATAAAAACTTTAGCCGAATGGTATATAAATGAAAACTTTAATTAGTTAAGAAGATCAACAGCATTTGGTAGAGTTGTTAACCCAAATAAGAAAGTTTTCGCTTTGATAGACACAAACTAAATCACTAGCACACTTTCAAATAGTTTCAATCACAAGTATCATTTTGTATATTGATATTACGTTGAATTTCAACTGAATAACAGAAAAAAAAAAATACGGTTCTAATTACGAAAATCAACAATTATTCGAAAAGTATGCGCTCAACTACTTGCAACTTCTTCAGTAATATTCGCCTAAGTAAACATTTCATTGAAATAATTAATTCAGTCGTTGTGAATGCTGCTGTGAAATAGAATATATTGCGAAAAATATTGAACAATTTGAAATAGCACGAAAACTCAACAGTTATGTTCCTTTTTTATGTTAAACTTCAAGTTTCGATGATAAAGAAGTTCAAAGTTGCCATAAATCGAAAAAAATTTAATTCAAAATCAATGAAATAAAAATCGGATGAAATTTTTTTTTAAGAAAAACGTCGAAACTTTCTGATCATCGACGACTATTACATTTGAATTGTTTGAAAATTGAACCATTCCATTAACATAAAAGTCAAAGTTTTGCAAAAGAACGCACGTGCTGTGTATGAATTGAAATGCGAATGAAAAATGTATCTATGAAACTAAATGGCTTAAATACTAAAGTAAAGTTTTGCCATTAACAACGTGTATCTAACACGAAGTAATGCACGATGCAATCAGACGAAATAAAAAAAACGACGAAGATTTGAAGTAGAAGAGCAGCACTTTGCCCTGGTGTCTGATAACAGTGAGCTGAAAGGCTAATTGAGTCCTAATAGAAACTCGATTCCGTGAACGTGTGCTGCATTGTGCAGCTGTGCGCACGGGCATTTTTCTTTCAATTTGGCCGATTACCAAGAACTTAGTGTGTATTGCTCTGGAATAATTTGCGAGATTCACATTGACAACACCTACCATCGAATGAGTGCTGGATCAAAGACTGAAAGTTACACTTCTTAAGTAATAAGTATTACGAAGTTGTGTGTTTTCGTCTACTCTTCCTCCTCCACATTTTTCGTAGTTAGATGGGGGGAAAAAAAACTCGAAACAGAATTGAAAAGTGCACTACAAGGATAAGAAGGAGAGAGAGAATCGAACGGTTTTCGTTGATGGTTCAAGAGTAACACTGATTACATAAACATACGAAAGTTTTGTAATTTTTGTTCAACGTACGTGATTTTAATGGCGGCAAATTTCAACTAAAACCGTTTGCGTGCAATGCACGATTTCAAAGAAAATCACCGAAACTTGATACCGATACACAGTTCGGGTGATTACTTATGTCAAACATGTGTCATTATATGGGATTTCTATCATGGTATAAACTTTTTCGCTCTATTTAAGCAAATGAACTTTTCCTTTTGACTAGATACTGACACGATTCCACGAACTGTTGACATGGACTCAAGCGATGCGATACACTCAAAGAGCTATTGCGTGTCTTTATTTAAACAACTAACCTACAGCAAGAGATTGGTAAATAGAAACTTGGTTTTGATGTTGCTTGCTTTTTGAAGTGGTTGCCGAAAAATGCCGTCTCAGTTATAGTATGTGCGCAAATGGTTTGGGTTTCATCTTAGATGCATCAAATATAAACACTCAAGCAGAAACATAATACGTAACAACGAATTGTGCATATCATTCTGAAATTGAATGACACATTTGTCTTTTTGAACCGAAAATTTGCAACAGCTACCACACCCTAATGACGGTTAGTTTTCAAGTTTTTATGCACAGCTGAATTCCCCAAAGCCATTTCCATTGTATCTGTGGACGAAAACTGACACACACACACACACACGCGCACACACATTTCATGACGTTGTGTTGTTCATATTATATGTAGTATGGAAACCATTTCAATTTGCACAATTCAAATAATTTCGCTGAAAACAAAAAGCGATGATGTATCGAGTAAATAGAGAATGCTGAAATTATCGTCAACATTTGATGCCTCGAATGGATGCAAAGTGGAAAAGTTTTTAGCATTCCCAAAATTGCGCAATGTTTTATGCTATCAACAGAGAGTATAAATGGTGGTACATCTGCGATTACAGTATTCGACCATTTACACAAAATATTTCAACAATTTATGTTGTAGTGTGTACTCGAAAAACATATAAATTTTCAGCGAAAAGCCGATTCATACATTTTGATCCTACAATTGTGAGCAAAAATTTGACATTTTACCATTGTCAATATGTTGGTGGATTGGGGGACACACTATATCGGCACCAGACCAATTGCAAAATATATCAATGGGTTCGTACGAATTTTCAACAAAAACAACCAATATCAGTGCATTCTTGACTCGATTAACAATATTTTATTGTGTTTTACTAATAAATCAATTAGCAAAGCCGGTGTGCACACGGACGTGTAGCTGGACAAGTGATAAACAACACAAATCATGAAGTTTAACCCTCTCTCTTGTACGCTCTCTCTCTCATTGAGCCCATTCACAATAGACAAACAACCAAAATGATTGTGATACACCATAATCTTGGGATTCAATTTTTGTCGCCGACTTTTTTTTTTTGATCGATAGCATTTTGAACTTATTTCCGTTGAGATTGAAATGAAGCGTTAGTGCCAATCATTAGATGTTTCGTCCAATAAAACTCTGTCAACTAACACTAGATTTTGTTTTATTTTTCCTCCTTTTTTCCATAGAGCCAATCAATTTTGACATAAAAGTACAAACAGCTGAAATTTGGATTAGAATTACATGTTTTTTCTAGCTGGACATAAATTGCGGAGCACATGTTTAGCATCTTATTTCCACTTGTTCCGGTCTTCTTCATTTTTTTTTGTAGCCGGAAATGGAGAGAGGCATTTCAATAAGTCGTGTAAGCACATCAAAGACACAAGGATATACCCGACCATAATTCAATTTGTTTTCGAAATGCCGATTCAATTTCGCTGACATTTCAACAGTGAAATGGTTGTTTTTCCTTCGTCTTCACATTCAAATGCCCTAATGCCC